GAGAAGGGGAGGCAGCATGAGAAGAACTGCTCCAGTTTGTGAGAAAGCAGAAAGACCAGAAAATTCCTGAGTTTTAAGACAACTTTGTGCTGGTTTATGTGCTCACAGAGCTGTAGCAGCCAGGCTGACTGGATACAGAAACCTCAGCATGACATGGAATTAACGAAGTGAACACACAAGAAGCAGTAACAAATATTTCTGCTGGCCCTCCAATACTGTTTGCTCCTGCTACAGGATTAGAGAAACATCTCAAATTACCCAGAGATAACTGTCACCCATGTCACTCAATCAGTAAACAGAACTAGCTCCTGAGTCCTGATCAGTAGAAAAATGATCTCAGTAAAAAAGGAAGCCTTGACAATTGAAACTGATTCTCAATTTTTAAGTACAACGAATCTTCAATTCCATTAAAAAAAGACATTATTTTAACCATCCATCAACTGTAAGTTTCTGCAGTGTAAGGACATAAGTAATAACATGCTTAAAGTGGGACTAAATTAGACCAAAAAAAAAAATCTATGCAGATGACTGAAGAGACCAGACCCATTCTCCAAAATCAGTTTCAGGAGGGAACAAACACAGTTTATCTTTGAAAAAAAAAGTTTTCTGCCATACTGAAAATTTACACTTTTCTTCCTAGTCAGAGCCTAATGACCAATATCTAAAATATACAAATCATAGCTTTAGAACTGCTCTTACAGAACAGTGTCATAGCACCTTTCAGTGGAATGAAGGAGTCCCAAGCAAGCCTACCAAACGGCAAAAGTCATTTCAAAATTGATAAAAGAAATCCAGGGAGGAACGGGTACACACACACTGTCCTCAAAAGAAAAGACAGAGAGACAGACACAGATCTAAGAATGAGAGATGGCACTCGGTCCATTTTATCAGGTGGGGCCTTTCCCAGCTTCACGTAGAGGGACTCAATCTCCTGCTTCTGGCGGCTCTGCAGCTCCTGGATCTCCTTAAGGTGCCTAACAGGGCACAAAACACAGGGATTTACAAGAATTCTATCTATACACATAGAAACAATGCATATCTATACACATGCAAACAATTCCTCCCCTCCAGTCAAGCCTGAGCTGCTCCTTTGGTTAGACTCTCCAACATTTAAGAAAGCAGGAAATTAATCTTTTCCACAAATAACCACATGGCAGAACACTTGCCATTTCCCAGTGCCCTGGCTAGGGTTCCAAAACTAAGTTCCCAACATTGCAATCACAAAACCAGAATAAACAGAAGTACAAAAAAAGCATTCAAATGCTACAGGAATAGCTAGATTACTCATTTTCTCAGACATATGGCCTTGGAGACTTCTACACTGGCATTGCCTTACAATTTGTTTCAGAGCACAGGCAGGATTTAAAACTGCTGGCTACCCTAAAAAAAAGGTACTGAAAAGGTACTGAAAAACTTTCAGTGTAAATAAATTAGAAGGTCACATTGCTTCACTTCTAAATTCTTTTTCTGAGCCAACAAGGTCTCTTCAGGAAAAGAGCCATTAGAAATGCCAGAAATGCAGAGACTTGTGTGTCATTTCCAAACAAGACTCTGATTTTCCCACCAACTCCAGTGCTATACCAAACCTTCCTTAGACCCACAGTTTCATCCATAGTGCAATCCACATACAACAAGGTCACAGGGTAGAAAACTCAGCCCAGCAAACACGTGCATTCCTCTTCTGTTATATCTGCATACTGCATTCCCACTAAGGAACCTCACTTCCCACATCAGTGCTGACCATGGCTCCTGGCACTTAGCAAAAGCTAAGGGAAGTACAGGTGACATTCCTGTTAACCCTGTTCCATCTGCTCCACCCACAACCTCCCAGAGGAAAAGCCTTACTTCTCCCGTAACCGGCGCAGCTCCAACTTCAAGTCTTCATCTTCAATATCCGACTCATTGTCGCTGCTCATGTAGGAAGAGTTGAAGGAATTGCTAAGGCTCTGAACGGGGAGGCTGATCTTCGATCCCAGGTGCTGGACAGAGTCCGGGCTCCCTGAGCCATCATCCAAATCCTTGGCCATCCCGCTCAGAAAGGCGGCCTCTGGATCAGAGGACGGACCATTCATGTGCGGGGACCGCCTCGACTCCAACTCTTTCTTCGGAGCTGCAGCCGAAGAAGCAACTTGTTCCAAGCCCACAGAGAGAGGAAGAGTCATTGGCTCCTTCTGGGCACAGCTGACCTCATCCCGAGCCTTGGACACGGAGAAGCGTCCCACCTGATCCGCCGTCGTGGTCACCTGGAAGCGCCCCACCTGCGTGGCCTGAGCGGCGTCTCCCGGCGGCGGCAGCCCGGGAGCTGCCTCGGGAACACCATCCACCACATCCAGGGAGCTGGCAGCCACCATGCCATCCACCACGGGCAGGGAGCTGGCAGCCACCATGCCATCCACCACGGGCAGGGAGCTGGCAGCCACAGCCCCGCTCTTGCGGCTCTCAGCCTGCTTCACCAGCGTGCTCTCCGGGCTGCTGCCAGACAGGCTTGAAGAATCACTGGAGGTGGTTTCAAATTGCACTGGCTTAGCATCAGGTTTGTCACCCTCTTTTAGCACATCATCCACTGCCACAGATACCTAGAATAGAAACACCATCATGCAGACTTCCTTAGTTTTGCCTTAACACGATGCTTTTATTTCCCTTAATGGTAAGATGCATCTGAGAGGGGAAAATAACTCATTTCCTAGGTATGCCACAAAGCTGCTGCTTCCCTCCAGGCAGAACACTGCCACCCAAAGCTGCACCTCTGGGTCACCTGGAGGATTCACTCCAAGAAACAGCAGCCCCACATGGGGCTTTCTTCACTGAAACCTTTTTTGCTGCTTTATGCTGCACCTTTTGAAATGGATTTCTGGGTCTCTTCTGAGCCCAGCTCCTTCGGGACACTCCCTCAAGGGGAGCTCCATTTATCTCAGTTCTCTGGGTTTGAAGAAAACTCTAAAGCTCGTTAGGATCTTGTTTCTCGTGTTTATTAGGATGTTATCAGAGACTTGGCAGGTCTCTCCAGACTTTCTGCACAAGTTCAGTTCACCGTAACCTGCCTCACTTTGGCTCTGATGGCACAAAATGGCCCCAAACCACGTGGCTGTTTCATCTTTATATCCACTTTTACCAAATTAACAATAGAAACATGTGTTGTTCTTACATATTAACAAATAAGTTTTCTATATCTACTTATGTAACTAAAACTGCAACTAACTTTCAACCAATCACTCTGTGCTTTTATAAACTGCAGAACCATGGAGAAGAAGGAGAGCTAAGAACCACACCCTTTTCCCCCATCTTTACTCCATGTATTAAACACTCTAAAAATCTATGTTGTTCCACTTCAGTGATGTATTAAACATTATACTAATTTCTACTTATTTTTTTATAAATCCTGGTTTACCCAGGGATACTTGGAAACCTTTCTGTCAGTGACAGACAAGATTAATACCTTTTTGGAGAACAGGACAAACAGAGAAATGTTTGTCCATTTCTGGGTTCCTACACTTCACCATCAGGACGTAACACAGCGAAGATCCCAGCACAAGCCAGGATGAAACCCTGTGCTCACAGCTCCAGAGCCCTGGATGCAAACAGCACCTGCAGACCTGCTGCCACAAGCTGCATGTGGACAGCAGGTCCTGCACAAGGGACATGGAGCTGGCACCAGCAGGAGCCCCCCAGGATGCTGTGCCAGGAGCCAGGTGAGCTGAGCAGTTCCTACCTGAAACCGGCCCATCTTCAGCACGCTGCCTCCTGCTGCAGCAGCCGCAGCACTGCTCTCCCCATCGCCTGCTGCCAGAAAGGAGGAAAAGGAGAATGCCATTAAGACAACAAGGAGCAGCAAATTATTTTGTTTCTTTATTACTTACATGTACTTCAAATTCAACTATCTGTTAACCCCAAAGAGGCTTCTGGACTCACAGCACCATATTAATATTGTTAATTATTAATGTTAAGTTGAAGCATTTTTCTACAAAGCTTCCCTGCACAGTGCATTTGCCAAAATTTGCTACACTTTTAGGCAACAGTAAAAAAAGCACACTGATTTTGAACAGGGATGTGAAAAAGACAAATAATAAAGAACAAGAACTGAAATTTATGAAAGAAAAAGCTTACAATACCCAGAGTGACTACCTAAATTTCACAAACACTGGGGACAATTTATTCACAGAAAAGGGGCAAGCTGAAGAAATTTTATAAGCAGTATTNCTGCTTTTTAGTCTCATATTTTCATTGATTTGGAATATCTTCCCACTGTCATGTTTGGTTGTTTTCGTTGCTTAGAAAAACGTACTAATTTTAAAAGGCGATCAAAGCCTGTGGAATAAAAACACCCCATAACTGCCGAGATCTTGAGGGAGTTTTATTATTATTTTGCCTGTTACATATGAGCATCTAGGAAAAAAAACAACAAAAAACCAACACATTTATTTTTAGGCCTTGCTAATTCTTAGTCTCCTCTTAGTTGCCGGCTACCTGGCAACAGCTGATTGCCATGGCAACGGTGCTGCTGCTCCAGGCGCGGCCTGGCCGGGGGCTGCAGGCCTGTGGTGGCCACTGAGGGTCACAGTCCTGGGCCTGTGGTGGCCACTGAGGGTCACAGTCCTGGGCCTGTGGTGGCCACTGAGGGCCGCAGCCCCAAACCTGTGGTGGTCATTGAGAGCCACAGTTCTGGGTCTGTGGTGGCCACTGAGGGCCACAGTCCTGGGTCTGTGGTGGCCACTGAGGGCCACAGCATTGGGCCTGTGGTGGTCACTGAGGGCCACAGTCCTGGGTCTGTGGTGGTCATTGAGAGCCACAGTCCTGGGCCTGTGGTGGCCATTGAGGGCCACAGCCCCAAACCTGTGGTGGTCACTGAGGGCCACAGCCCCAAACCTGTGGTGGCCATTGAGAGCCACAGTCCCGGGCCTGTGGTGGCCATTGAGGGCCACAGCCCCAAACCTGTGGTGGTCACTGAGGGCCACAGTCCCAAACCTGTGGTAGCTACTGAGGGCCACAGCATCACGCCCGAGGTGGCCATTGAGGGTCACAGCATCAGAACTCTGGTGGTCACTGAGAGCCACAGCCCCAGACCTGTGGTGGCCACTGAGGGCCACAGCCCCAGAACTGTGGTGGCCATTGAGGGCCACAGCCCCACGGGCTCCTGGTGCTGCCCCATGCCAGGGTCTCCTGTGTGCTGGGAGAGAGGGAAGGAGGGAACTCGTTGCCCAGGGTTCAGATTTTTGCTGGAAAATAGAGATCTACCTCTCATGAATTCAACTTTTTGTAGCTTTTGAGTTGGTATCCAGACTCTTGGAGTGCTCATTGTCTTTGTTTAGATCACTGCTATGGTTGCATTGGTGGCTGGTTTTGTTCCTTTGGTCTCTGACAAAGCTTCTCCTTTAACTCTCTGTGAGTTTTTTTCCACCCACGCTGATGGAACATTTCTTGATTACATTCAGATGGTTCATGCCTGGAATTGCACCTTCTGCAAGACACCAGGGGTGGTTTTGTCACTGATGCTACAGTTTCACCTGGAACTCTAGTGCTGAGGTTGTAAATCAGAGGAGAATTTTGACCCTTTAATGCATTGAGGTGAAATTAGTACAACAGGAGAAATCTGTATGTCCTTTTGTAAATTAATGCAATATATAATAATAGTTCAGATGTAAGGGGTTTTTTTAAAATTTTTGTGCTTATTCTACTTTCACTCAAAATGCACAATTTAGTGTTTTTGAGTTTCTGGAATCTTGGCATGAAAGTTTGCTAGAGAAAGTTTTGCACAAAGACTGTTCTCTGCCCTGGATGTTGGGACACATTGCCTGGTTTTCTACTAGCTTTGATTTACATTACAGGGAAAGCTTTCATGCCTTTTCTGGGGAATGAACATGCCCAGGTACCCGTCTGAAGGGTCTGTCTGCTCACACTCATGGTGTAGAGAAAAAAAACAACAGGAGGAGTTTGGGTCTGTGTTCACTTTCAGAGCTACAGAATCACCTGGACTGCAGATGTGGTGGGATAGCTCACACAAGAGCAGCACAGTAATGGGTGTGCACAAGATTGTCAGAAAGTTTGGACCAGGATAGGATAAGGAGAGTTAATTTTCATGTGAGTGAGGTGGAGGAGTGCATGGAACTGTCCTCTGACGAGCCAAATGAGACCTTATAGGTTAGGGAGCATTCCAACAAAATGGATATACACAGGTCCAAGAGACCTGATGGGGTGCACTCATGAGAGCTGAGGGAGCTGTCCCAGTCATCATGAGATCACTCTTGATTATTTCTTTAATTAGTTTTGACATAAAGCATAATTCTGTACCTGAAATGACAACACTGTACCAACTACTAAGAAAAAATGAGTCCTACCCCAGCCAAAACCAGGACAGAGGTATGGCAATAGAGGGTTTCCTGCAGACTGGAGCGTGCTGTTGTTTTTCCCTTTGTAGTGTGAAAATGAAGTGATGCACTAGTCATAATAATGGAAGAAAAAGTAAATTCAAGAATGCCCTCAGACTGGTAATCAGAAGCTGAATTTTGCTTGGTTTTCAAAAAATGAGAACATAATAAACATTGTATGTTAAAACAAAATCAGTATAATCTACAGAAAAGCAGGCTTGCTTTTCCTGCAAGGTTTGCTAGTTTTGATTTTGCTCACTGAAGTTTCTGTGGGGATGAAAAGGCTGCTCTGAGTCATTCTTGTTTGGACATAATACCTGCTGGTTTGCCATTCTTTTTGGGTTGATGTCAGTGTTACAAAAGTGGTCAATAAACAGCATGTCATGAATGCCTTTGGTGTTGTCACTGCCTTTTTGAGTGTGTAAGGCAGCTCTGAACAAGATTCCTTAGAGCAAAGCAGAAACCTTGGCACATGTGCTGATGGACAAACACGGAAAGGATGAAGTGGCAGAGAGCAGATCCAGCACAAACAGAGATCTGGGACATCAGGCTCCCTCAAAAACATTTGCAAGGACAAATTCCTCTCAGGGCTTGCTTTCAGAACTGAGTGGGAGTCTCTGCCTTGTACTCATGAAGTGACTGACACCAGCATCTCGGGTCCTGCTGAGTTTCCACCTGCACATTCAAATATTCCCTGTCTTACCTGGGAAAAAAATCATGAGACTTGACTCACTGTACTTGGCAGGTAGATCACACACATTTGCCTTGGAAGTTCTCATCTTGAAGGTTAATTGATAGGATTGGGACTGGTTTTTTGAATTGTTTGCATTTTAATGTCTTAGATTTTCTACGTGTTACTATATATTGGTAAAGGTTTGAGGGTTTTGGTAAAGTAGAAGTGAAATGCTTTCAATTTTTACACAGCAACACTCAAATACACACGATTAAACACCAAGTATGCTTCCATTTGGAGCCCTGTAGTTGCCCATAAAAGCACTAATTTGATATACTAATTTCCCTTATCTTTCAGAGGAACAGAATACTCTGTGACCAGTCTGATATTTTAGTAGCTGGCATCACATAACATCTTGTAGCAGTAGTAGAACACCAAATGCTGATGTTTAGCTCCGTACTTTTAAACTGGACTGAAATTCCTGTGTTACTGCAAACTACAGAAGTGATGAATTTGTAGAATGCACACCTTGATTTAGAAGAAGTTGTGGGGAGAACTTGAATGTGCAAGTGTATATATTACAAGGAATGGTGACACCTAGTATTTTTACCATTTCCTTTGCCTTCTACACCATTCCTCATTCGTGGTTGGAATGCTGTATTATGTGGCGTGTGAAATTATGTTGATTTCAAGCAGCTGCACTAAGTCATTTACATTGAGTTTTTTTTAAAAATTTGCTATAAAGCTACAGACAAAATTCTGATTGGTACTTGCTGACTGAGAGTATTCTCTTCAGTACCATTGGCACTTATACCAGTTTCTTGGTCTAGGACTCAGCAGTGTTGAACCCCATGACTTAAATGATTTTGTTGTCAGGATAGTGACCTACTTATGGGAGATTACTTTTAAACTTTTTAGAGGCATGGAGTTATTGTAAATTCCTTAGAAATGTGAGATGACAATCAGTAGTCTTATTCCATCAGCAATTGATCTTTAAGCCTAGATATCACTGTTGGATTGCTGAGGTTCTCATGCAAAGATTGGTGGAAATAATAATAAATACGAAATTTGAAAGAATTTTTTTGTACAAAATACTTAAATGGGTTCAATCTAATATTTATAAAGAGATTGTTTTTCATTATTATTCAAAATCTGCAGTATGGTTTGGAGCTTTGAAATCTTTGGTAATAATTTTACAGTTTGTCAATCCTGTTCAGATGTCTGGAAAAGTTAAGTGTCTCTTAGGTTAAAGACTTATTTTACTCAAGACCACTAAGAGTCTTTTTTTAGCTCTTTAAGGCTGAGGTTATGGTCTTTGTTGCCTCTATTTCAGGTTCAGGGCTTTGTAATTCACCCAAAGCCCTTAACAGAGGTTTGTAGTGAAATCCTTAGACAAACTTTGTAGTGGAAAAAAAAAAAAAAGTCTCTTTTACTATTGAGAGTGGGGGAGCTATTGGAAAGAATACATAAACAAAAGAGAAAGCTCTAATCACTCAAATGCTCTTCCAGGATAAGGAGTCAGCAGCACTGTGCTCACAGTGATAAGATAGAAGATGACTGACACCTTTGGAAGATAGGGAGGAAAGGATGGGATGCTCTGAGCTTTGCAAGAGAAAATTCTTTTAAGGCTGAGAATATTCGTACAGACATCATTCTTTATTTTAACACATTGCTCTGTCTTGGGGAGAGACTCTGAGCATTCATGTGGGGTTTTTTTCCCAGATATAATTACCCTGCTGACACAGTAAACACTTTCTTCTCTCAATAAAATAATCTGTCCAACAAGCTGTTGGCAGGA